TAGCATACATGTTTTGATCCCGTATGGTCGGGAATTTATCATTTTCGATTTAGATTTTTAGTTATGATACAGTCCACGAAATAAAATTGGTTGTTGTTGTTGTAAAGTTGTCTATAGTATACAGTCTAAGCAGCGACCCAAAGTTCTGAGAAAAGAACGAGACTTTTGAATTTTTTATCTTCATTTTAAACTCAGAGCGAAACCACACATAAAGCAGAAATGTTTTAGAATTTGTATTTCAGTGCAATATTTAATGCTAATTTTTCCTTCTTTCATACTCTCTGTGTTGCGTACTTAACTGATGACATCTTGAGATACAGTAATAACATTTCCTCCCCCAAATGTTTTACTACTATATCTTATAAATGATGACCTCTAAGCGCTCTAACTCCCTAATTCCAGTTACTCTATAAACAACTTTAAAGCTGAAACAGAAATTTGTTTCCCAGAACATTTTTAAGACTTTATAGTATAGTATTTATTAAACAAAGTTTTTAATTTTATGTTTTCTTTCGTTTTTAACCCAAGTTGTTTAGAAATAACCACAGTGGTAAGTAAATAATGAAACAGTTTTTATGTGATTGTTAATAATTAAATAAAATAATGAGGAATTAAAATATAAAAAATATGCTTTTATAACATTTGATGAGCATCGTGTCCATCGAGTACGTCATCCATTTAGAACATCTATCCATCAAGATTCTGTTCATCAGGAAGAAATAATATATACTTGGTACAAAAATAAAACACGTGATAATATATATATGTAAATCTTATAAGCTAAATTAACATATGAAATAATAATTTAATATTACGGCATAGAACTGTGTAGTTATAAAATGAACTGTTGTATAAAATATTTTAAACCTTTTTTTTCTTTATTTGTATTAAAATAGTGTTGCGACTGAGGTTAAATTTGAAACAAAACACTTCGGTATTCAAAATTTTAACAACGCAAACGACAGTATGCATTATAATTTTCTTGTATTCTCATTTTCCCACATGCAATGCGTAGCCGAATATTAATATTCGGAAATCTTCAAAATAAACAAGCAATAAATCTGCTTAATGTATATATATATATATAATTTCACAATACAAGTAATATAAGTAAAATAACAATATAAGTAAAATAACATGCGCAGCAGCAGCGAGGCTTTTTATACAAGAGTTTCCATTATCAAAACTAACAAATAATTTAATAAAATATGAAGTTCAGCAAAATCTTTGTTAAAATTTAAGAGATTCCGTTATTCTTTTCACACAATATATATTTAATGGTTTCTGAAAACTATTCGCAACCAAGAATTTTTTTTTTTTTTTTTTTCTTTTCATATGTACGTTTTTGAAAATAGAATGCATTCATTTCAGATTTTTAAGTTCATTTTCTTCAAGATTTTTCATTCGTGTCAAACGTGTTTCATATATGCGTAAAAGCTTTGGCAAATTTTAATAGTATAATACTTTATGTGAGTATTCTCAGCAGATTTGAAAGTTTGAAACAAAATGTGAAAATAGAATTTATGCTCTAGAAGTAAATTTCTAACATTGTTCTTGGCATCCTTTCTGGATTTATTATTTTTCTATTAACAATATAAGTTTCTGAAAATTTGCTTGGATGTGTCCCTTTCGAAAATATATCATTTTTATTCTAAATAGGTTTCATTTCCTGTGAAACTATTTGTAATTTAGCATCAGTATTGGGCCCAATCTTTTGCATACGCTCTTACTTTTCTTCGAAATTTACTTCTCAGTAATTCTTCATTTACAGTTTCTCCTTTAATTTAACAAATTCTAAATGCTTCGATAATAACATTTTGATTTAATATTGTGGCATGCATAGTCGAGGTTTTTAATGATTATTATAGTTTATTACAGTCTAAGTTAGATTTACTTGACAAACTTTTAAGTATAAGAAGTTATTTCACTTTTTAGTTTTTAGTTTAGCAATTAATACTTTTTAGTTTCAGTAGGTTAGTGCTTTAAATATTCTTTAACTTTAGTAAGTCAGAATACATTTTAGTCTCTTGATAAACTTAAGTATGGGAAGTAATTTTTGTTTTTTGATTGCAAGTGGTCACCAGCAGGTAAGGAAATAAAATCTACGTACATTTGTAGCTCGATCTGAGCTCAAATCACAACGAACAGGCTCGCTCTGTAGGTTTCTTGTGGTTTTTTTCCATGGTAAACTTAAATGAGAATCGATTTATCATATACCTTCACCCCACCGTATTTATGCTTAAAATTTTGAAAACAGGGCAGTTTGTTTTTTTGTTCCATTTATTCATTTTAGATATAACTTTGGTTGAACTTTGTGGCTATACTGGCCATCAGCAGGAAAACAACATCCTGCTCTTGGCAGTTCCTGATGTAGCCCCGTGTAGGTCCTGACAGCGAAGAAACCTGAATGAAATTTCCTCTCGTAGAGGTGGAAATGTGTGGTGAGAAAGAGAAAAAAGAAGCTCATTGCTTCTGTGCTGGTACTTCTTAGATGGATTCCGTCAAGCAGAGGCGCGAAAGCTTTTGACAGGGTATGGCATCGAGGCCTTATTTACAAACTAATCACTCTCAATTTTCCAGATCATTTTATTCGCTTAATAGCCTCTTTTCTCAGCAACAGAACATTCAGAATCAAAATCTGTACTGCTTACTCTACCTCCAGAGTAATGAATGCTGGTGTCCCACAGGGGTCGGCACTTTCGCCGTACCTTTTTAATATTTATACACAAGACATCCCTAAAGACCCTTCTGTTCATCTTGCACTCTTTGCCGATGACACCGCCATACTTACTAAAGTCTGCAGAGTTATCGCCGTAAGAAACCAACTCCAGAACTATCTCATAAAACTGGAAAAATGGCTTACCATTTAGAGGATTAAAATTAACACTGATAAAACTAAGGCAATAATTTTCCATAAAGGAAACGTGAAATACTCTCCTCCACCCCACTGAAATATTTGACGAAGAAATAGACTGGATTAATGAAATCAAATACCTTGGAGTCACCCTTGACCAAAAGCTTACATTCAGAACCCACTTCTGGTTCGTACTACAAAAAATTAAATCACCACGGCTACTATGCGACCTCTTCTTGGTAGAAAAAGCAACTTATCTACTACAAACAAATTAATTCTATATCGTTCCATACTGCGCCCAGCCCTCCTTTATGCAGCACCGATCTGGGGACATGCAGCTAAAACCAATATTAAACAATTACAAATTCTACAAAATAAAATTCTACGAGAAATTATCAATGCTCCTTGGTATATTCCAAACATCTATATTCACAGAGACCTTCGAATCGAACTTATTCAAGAGTATATTAAACGATTAGCGGTCAACTTCTTTTATTCAGTACAAACTCACAGTAATAGCCTCATTAGCACTCTCAAACACTCCCCGCATCCCAGAGAAAACATCGTTACCCTTGTGACATCCTACCCACATAAGAATCGTAACCTTAACTGACTCTGCGGTTTACCACCCGCGGCTACATCTTATAACGACACTGAACTTGCCAACCCCCCTTTTTTCGCCGCCGCTAGTGCGGACCTCACTCTCTTTTTACCGCCTCCCACACTCCTTTCACCATACTCTTTCAACCCACCCGATTCTTATCAGAAGTTGAGTTAAAAGATGTTTGTACATCATGACACTCGAGAATAAAATACGATCTGTGTCGAGAAGAGGCTGGATGGAGGAACTTCGGATGATTTGTGTAGGATAGCCAATTACTTCAGATGAGCACTTAAAATGTTCAGAAAATCCAAATTAAATTTGATGATAAAAAGGACGTCAGAAACACTTGAGTAGGAAAAACAATGCCACTGGGCATCTGGGTTGTTCTTTGAGATTGTGGCGATTTCTGATTGCTCGAAGAGATCTGAGCTCAAGAGATGGGCGGCGAAGGGGCGGAAACATTTGTCTTCAGCCAGGATTTCGTAGATAAGAATATCCGTGAAATTAGCTGGATTTTATGATATAACAATTATGTAATAAACTAATAAATCATTGTTTTTAAGAAATTGTACCTAAAACTACTGATGAAAATATAACAAATGTCGCCTATTTCCGAATAGAATACACCATTTCAAAGAAGAACACTCACGATTCAACACGATTTTGACCGTTGGAGGAGATGCTTGTCTGAGAAAGGTGATACTCAACAGCAGTGTTTGTTTGCTCTTTCACAAACATTGATTACTTTCAAAGGTGGTTAGTCTTAATCAATTGATAGCCTAGGATGGGTCACTGTATTTTTACGCATTTTATATAAATATAAGATTAATTGCTATTTAACGCAGTAAAACTTTTCTGAAAAATTATCTCATGAATTTTATTTAATAATTTCAGAAAATGCTAATTATTTGGTCCTGCTAAGAGAAAGTATACTTCCGTGAGGAATTTTTGTCGGAAACTGGTAAAGCTTCGTATCGAGGATTTTTTTGGATATTTCAGATGCTTTTAAAATTATTAAAATGATTAAGAATTAAATTGCTAACGGAACTCGTTAGCTTGTATCATCCTTTAGATATAGAACATTTAATATATTTTGATAAAAAAGTATTGATTTCTAAATGAAGCCATAATTCTTAAGATGTATTTTCATTTAAATCAAAAAATTATGACAAGAAACCGCATCTGTCAAAACATCTCAACAAAAGTTTCGTGTATCCGAATTATTATGTGAGTTACCGACTAATACGTTTAAAATACATTATTTTGTTACAAGTAATATTTTGATGATATTTATTTTGCAACAAATAAGGTTTAAAATGCAGAAAAAATAACATTAGAAAAAAATTTGGAGTCCATGTTTTTAATATTTAGTACAAGATCCATGCAAATAAATTTCAAAAAATGCAAGTGTTTGAAGATAAATGTGAGCCACTGTATGTCACAAAAATTGTTAAAGCTAGAAATCGCCTCTTAGCAACCACTTTCGCAAAATTGATTGTTCGCTGATAGATGGCACATGAGTCACTTTAGCAGAACATGCGATGTGGTGTTGACTAATCGCTGCTTTGGAGGAGCACGTTAATTCCGACTGAGCTGTCATGGCTGCTGTTGATACCGACTGGGAAAACTTCCCTTCATACTTTGACTTAACGCGCGGTATTCAGGAATTTCTCGCAAAGACGTATCATGAAACCTTTATAGAAAAAAGAGAACAACTTCCCATTGAATCTACGTGGAGTAATTATAATTTCAGCTTATTCGACATAACGTTAGTAGTATTATTATCAATAGTATGGTCAGTTTTACGGTACATGTCTACAGAATGGATTTTCAAGGTAAGTAATTTATTTTTATATAGTAGTAATTATTTATCCATTATTGAATTAACTAATTATTATACTTTTTCACTTTCCAGCTCTAAAAAGTCATTAAAATATTTCAAATGTGTATTCGATCGTGCCATACTTGACTTTTTTTTTTCTGTTTCTGCCGGTATTTAGATGGGTCTTGAGCGACTAATTAATGTTATCGCTGTCACTGCGTATAACCTCATATCTCTAATTAGTTTGTATTATTATTCTTTATTGTTCTTCAAAATATAATATGCTTGTTTCCAATCCGTTTTGCGTGACAATGTATTGTGATTTAATGTAACTTTTTATATCTGTTCTGGAGACTTTGTTCATTTAAATGTCAAAATGTTGTGGAACGCAAAAATATGTATTAACCATTGCATGTTTCGATGACTATTATAGATAGAAGTATTTCAAAAAATTGTTTTTAACCCATCTTAAATTTCTGAATTTTTTGTAGTCGGTCTAATTTCTTTTTTTTAAATTAAGCTTTTTTTTAAAATACAAATTAGAAGAACCCAATCGCATGGGTATAACTTTTTTTTTTTTTTTTTTTTTTTTGAAAACAGTGAATCACACGTTTCAGTTTCATTTATTTTATTAAATACTTTAGTTTCATTAAAAATTATATGAAAATATTACATATATAGAGAGTGTGGTTCTAAAACTTATCTATGCAGATGTTACGAAATAAATTTACTATTTTGATTGAATTTTAAAATATATACTTAAATATATTTTCCAGCCTTGGTGAAATTTTTTTAAATACTATTCAGTATTTAAGTATTTGTTATTAAAATACATCAAATAAAAGATATTTTATGTGATGTAAAATTATGTTATTGTGAAAAGACATATTACATACATGTATATTTAATTTTTCCAAAACTGTATGAAAAGAGACTGTATGGCCCAATTGTTAAGAATTACTGTGCCTTAAATTTGAATTTATGAAACTATTGAAATTTTTTAATTGTAAAAAAATTATAAAAATGCTCATTTTTATAATGTATGATTTCATTCAACATATTTTCAAGTTTATAAGAGGCATTTTAATTTTTCAGTAATGTAATAATTTTATAAACATATGTTGGAAAATGTAAAGAAATGGTTATTTGAATAGTATATTACTTTTAATAAGTCTAAAATTTGTAAAATAATTTTATTTGTTAAATTCATAATGCATAAATTTTAAGATGTAATGAGAGTCTGATGATTCATTTTATCTGATATATTATTAGATAAAACATAATGTAAAATATGAACTAAATATAGATATTGTTTAGAATAAACAAGGACATTAGTTTTTTTTCTTACTACATTCAACAAGATATTTCGTTTATTCATTAAGACTGTATGATTCATTTTTTATTATGAGGATCATAATAATTACAAAATACAATTGTTTTCCCTTTCAATTGTTATTTTTTCTAACCATTTAGTTATTTAGATTTTCTCTAGAGTTGCACAACAAGCTCGGTATAAATGTGCCATTATATTTTTCAGAATAATTTGTTTTATAACACTAATGTATGTTAAACAGTGAAGAATTAAAAATATTACCTCTCTGTTATTTTCTCTATACAAATCCTTTCTAGGGACTATATGAAACCATTGCAAAAATATATGCATGCAAGTTCTAAATCTAGCAAGCATACTCATTTAATCATGAGCCAAATCTAGCGAACACAACTTTTAATTGTGCGCTGCTTTTTAATACTCCATTGAATTAGTGCTTTAATTTTTGAATTATTTTTTACTGATACTATGGATCTGACAGTTTTGCTATTGTGCAGTGACAAAAAAGTCTGCATTAGAATTTCTTTAAGCCTCTCAGACAGTTTAGTGGTTAGGGAAGCTGGTAAAAATATACTTATAGGTGCTCCATATGGTACTTGCTGATAATTGGCAGTATATGAACAACGAGTTTGTGCAATTCTTTGGCTTAATATTTTGGCTTTGTGTAGCGGCGATTGCCGATTTTTGGCACAAAAATTGCTGCTGCTCAAATCCAAAATAACAAGTCAAAGAAGGTTACGGACTAGGTACCCATGTACACATTGACCTATTTTCACTCAAGAAAGCAGAAAATTGCAGAAACTAAGCACTGTGCACTGACTTGACTTTGTCCGTGTATATATGGATCTATTTTCACTTTCAAATCAAAGAAGCACTCGATTCGGTTAGAGTAGAGAGAAGGATACCCCTTGTATTATCACAAAATTGTTTCATTTATAGTAGCCTGAGTAGTTGAATATTATGGAAACCCTATTATGATGTAATCGGTTGCATGATTGCTGTAAATTCGTAAGGGCTTGGTGTGTGTATTAGGTAGGAAGTATATTGCTTGTTTTGTGGTTTAGACGGTAAAATGGCTGAATGTAGTAAGATTAATTTGAATTTTCTTTGATTTGGAAAGAAAGGGGAAAAGAGCATTACTTGACTGGTGTGTAAATGGAGGTTTATTTAATAGCCATCATTACATGTCCTGTTTGTAGGAAAGAAATGCATATGGTCGAACGTCGGAAAAGCATACAGTCGGACGTTGCTACAGATTATATTTTTGACTTTTATTTTGTGAATTTATGTGGCAACACTAGTATACAGATTCTAGTTCAGATAATTTTAGAAAGTTTTTGGATGCTGTTAAGGAATTTTGGTAAAAGTATAGTTTAGGGTACCCCTTGGCAATTTTTGGCGGTACATGGATACCGATTTTGTGCAATGCTTTGACTCGTTATTTTAACTTGCGAAGCGGTGATTTTTGCGCCAGAAATGTACACATTGACTTATTTTCATTTAAAAGAAAAAAAAAAAAAAAAAAAAAAAAACCGAGTTGCACACAAAAATGGCATTGCGCACTCCTTTGACTTTATTCATGTACACGTTAATCTATTTTCACTTAAAAAAATCTCTGAATTGCACAAAAATGGCATTGCACACTCTTTTAACTTTATCCATGTACACATCGACCTATTTTCACTTAAAAAAAATCCCAGAATTGCACAAACTTGCATTGCACACTCCCTTTACTTTGTCCATGTACACATCGATATATTTTCACTTAAAAAGTCAAAGGAGCACCAAAGTCTACAATATAGGCAAACAAAAAATACATAAAATAAAGGTAAAAGTATAGTTTAGGGTACCCCTTGGTGAAACTTGGTGGTACATGGATGCCGATTTTGTGCAATGCTTTGACTCGTTATTTTGGCTTTCGAAGCGGCAATTTTTGCACGAAAAATCCCCGCTACACAAAGCCAAAATAACAAGACAAACAATTGCACAAACTCGGTGTCCATGTACACTTAGACTTATTTTCACTTAAAAAAAAAAAAAAAAAAAAAAAAAAAAAAACAACGAATTGCACAAAAATGGCATTGCGCACTCCTTTGACTTTATCCATGTACACGTCGACCTATTTTCGCTTAAAAAAAAATCCCCGAATTGCACAAAAATGGCAATCAACACCATACATCCTTGCTGTAGCATGATTTCTATTTTGTTTAACAAACTGAATGATTATGCATTTGAAACCAGCACAGTGTTTGTTTCATTTGGCAGGAGTCATATTTGCTACTAAAAGGAATACTAGATCAACTTTATTTCGACTAAAGCAAATACGAATTGCCTTTGATGTTTACTTCAAAATCATGGCTTCAAATGACTACGGAAAGAGAAAATGTCAGACTCCTAATTCCGGGGATTTATTCGAGTCAGAAATGCATTCTTATCCCAAATTACATCCCCTGTTCTCAAAAGCCTAGAATAACATTCTTATGTCCAGCTGCACTGAATACAACCCATCCCCTTTGCAGAATTATTTACCTTGTCAAGTATTCCCCCCCCCCCCCCAACACACACACATATTGTTCCTCATATTGCTTATCAATTCAGTATACTGTTCAAAAACTAGAGAAAAATCTTTCAATGAAAGACTTCAAAAAATAGAGCATCACACAAGCATTTTTCAGATTTCTTTGCAAAGAAAAATAGATGTGTGTTATACTATGAATATACCTAAAAGTTAAAAAGCATAGTTTGAAATTATTGGTGTGCATTATATGCTTGAAAATACGGTATTTAAAACTTTTTTACTCAATCAAATTATTAAAATTCGAATTGCTAATGCCATTAAAATATTAGTTTGATATCTTCCTAAATCAGTGCCATTTAAAAAAAAAATTATCATAAGTTTATAATAAAATCCAGTTATGGAATGCAGAGAAGCAAAATAACCTCACAACCACATTTCAAGCACAATTTTACAACCTTGCACCAATCAATAAAAAACGAGAATTAGTTTATTCACCAAAAATCAGCAGAGGAAAAAAAGGAACCAGTATATAGATCGATAAATAAATTCGGTTGATCTTTACATTATGGTAACTTGGCGTTTTTTTGGCGAAAATTTGGCGACCAACTCTCCTACAGCAACCCTCTATTTTTTTTCCCCGCCGCCATTTTGTCTTCACAAAGTAAAGACATGTTTCTTTCCTTTTTATCTACTGAACACTTCTTCCAACAATCTAGTAGCCGAATTACACTTATGCTAGAAATTTTATCAAACAAAACTGCTTAATCATGACAAATATTCACTGCAAAATTGGGAAAAAGTGCACAATACCATACTCCTTACGCGTTTTTTCAAAATAACACATACACATAAACCATGTACACGGCGACTTATTTTTACTTAAAAAAACATCCCAGAATTGCACAAAAATGACATTGCGCACACTCTTCACTATATCCATGTACACTGCTTTTTTTCTCATAAATTAAAAAATTTCACGAAAATACATGACAATTTTCTCAATCTTTAAACCAAAAAGAACATATATGAAATTACCTGATCGCGAAAAAGTATTTACCCTTTACAAATATGAACATTTCCACACATAAAACTTTTACCTCTAAATCATCTATTACATTATACACGTCACCAACGAATTCATACCGCAAGCATTACAAATACTTAGTATCAAATATTTAAATTATTTCCATGCACGTTTATTTCAACTTAAACGTATACCAAATTCCTACAGACGTAAAATTCACAAAATAACTATCATTTAATTAAAATATCACTAAACCATGTACAAGTTGACTTATTTTTACTTAAAAAAAATCCCACAATTGCACAAAAATGGCATTGCGCACACTCTTCACTATATCCATGTACACTGCTTTTTTCTCATAAATTAGAAAATTTCACAAAAATACATGACAATTTTCTCAATCTTTAAACCCGGTAAAAAGAACATATATTGAAATTACCTGATCGCAAAAAAGTATTTACCCTTTACAAATATGAACATTTCCACATATAAAATAAATAAAATATCCAAAACTTTTACCTCTAAATCATCTGTTACATTATACACGTCACCAACGAATTCATACCGCAAGCATTACAAATACTTAATATCAAATATTTAAATTATTTCCATGCACGTTTATTTCAACTTAAAACGTATACCAAATTCCTACAAACATAAAATTCACAAAATAACTATCATTCATTAAAATATAATTAAATTCAAAAACACTACTTAAAATATAAATGAGCACATGCATTAAATTAATAAAAACTTACCTTACAATCCTAATTACTTTAAAACTAAATCATTGCTAATAACAATTTTTCCCAATAATACAAAAATTCCTTCCACCTTACATTTAGAACAATGCATAAAAATAATATCCTCAAATAATTAAAAATACTAACTTACCTAATCTTCTTCAGAATCTTGATTACATGTCCCATAAACTTTTCTTTAGTTTACGGCCATGGGATCCAAAAATTCACGAACACTGTTTCACACAACACAGAATAAACCAAATACAAAATTTCCAGATTTTTTCCCGATTTCCCCCCTTTTCCGATTCAAGAACCGTAATTTGTCCATTAATATCACATGACATATCCGATGATCTCTCATTTCCCTCACACAAAATAATGCGTAATCGGAACTGAGTACTGCTCACATTATTACCAAAGTCCCAGGTAGTAACCTTTATCGCCTCCAAAATGTCGCCAAACTACCAGTTACCATATTGTAAAGATCAACCATAAATTCTTAAAAGCTTTCTGAATGAATTTTCCTTGGGAATTGCCAGCACATTGAATGAGATCTGTTCAACTTGTGTGAATGAAATGAAAAATGTGATGATTTTATGTATAAAAATTTAACATGATTGATGCGTTATACTTGAAGAAGCTTGCAAATGTGAAAAAAGAAATTTGGAGCTATTTGCTGCATCATTAAAATGATAACTCATGAGCATAGCTTCGACATGATAGCGAAATAGACAGAAGATGGATGCATAAAAAAAGCAGACTTGCAAATGGGCCAAATTAAAATAAAATTAATTTTATTGTAGTTACATGTTTTGTGGCCATAAACAAATTGGCGCACTAATTGTGCCTGTTCCTGAATAGTTACAATTTTAATATTTTTGTTAATATTGTTGGGATAAAAAGACAAGGAGCAAGGAACAGTGTAGCTAGGTCACAATGCAGAAAACTAGTGCATAATTATTCAGTATGGAAGCTTAGTTTAAGAGAAAGGTTTCGGTTTAACCCATTAACCGCCAAAACTACAAGGAATGTTTCTCTTTTCTCATGAAAATAATAACAAATATTAAATTAAGCATTTATAACATAAATTGACATTGAAAATAAAAATGCTCTTACCTGTTGAAAAAGCGAGTGTTGCGTTCGCGCAACGTCAGCGGAATAAGACTACGGATGTTTAGTGAGTAGGATTGTACTCGTGTGATGTTTCTTTTGAGTGGAGCGCAGGATTACTGTTTAGCTGTATAACGTTTTATAAATATACAAGTCACTTTACTTGTAATTAATTTAATATTAAAATATACATTGTATTTCTTTTACAAATACAGATTATTTCATTTGAAAGATTCAAGCATGAAAAGCTTGATTACGATCATGATGTAAAGCTACATTACATACTTTGCATCTATAAACAGTCTGGCTATGGTACTCTTTAGAAGTCTTTTGTTATCAACGGACTTTACGATAAAATGTCTACCATCTCCATGCAATGGTTTTTGAATGCTGAATTTACTAGGTCTTCCCGTTGCTGATCTATTTCTGGCTAATTCTACACTCTCAATAGGAGTTTGCAAAAGGAATAATGCATTTTCGCGTTTGGAATCTAAAAGAGACTTTATATTTCCAGTAGTAAAAAGTGGTGATATTTAGTAAGTTTAGATACGGTCTCACCTCATATAATTTATCAGTATTGTCAAATGCAAATTCTGCTTCATATTCCTGTACTGCAAACGTGATATCGATTCTCGTACAACAGGAACAGAAATGTCCTTATCAAAAGACCAATACATTTTTTCTTGAGGTAAAGAATAATATCCTGTAAGTAATAATATTCCAATAAATCTTCTCATATAGGCTTCAGATGCAATAAATTCTGTTTTTTTTTTTTTTTTTTTTTTCTGAGCATATATATTTGTCTGTTCAACAAGAAGAGAGTAAATGTCTAAAACGAAAAGTGTACTAGTTTTACTTTGTATTTTGTCTTTCATAATTTCTCATTCGATGTCAAATACCATCACACCTAGAAATTCATTATTTTCATTGATAATAAATACGATAGTTTAACCCTCTGGGCTGCCAGGGTTTTCGCTAAGAAGGCAGAAATTTTCCAAAACTATTATGAGAACAAATTATTTTTTTGATTTTAATGTAAAAACTCTACTGGTATTTCATACCTGGATTTGTTTTCTTTTGATATATTGCCTTAATTTCGTTGACATATTTTAATATGCACGTATATATACGTTCTACAGATATCATAATAAATATTCTAGGCCGTATATATACGGCCTTGCCACTTAGAGGGTTAAAACAATTAATTTTGTTTTTCTGAAACATAAAATAATTTCTGTATGTTAAAACTTTTCATAATTTGTATGATTTTTGATATTGTTTATTTAGTTGGAGCCATTAAATTAGAAACATGACCAACAGACTGTAGTTTGAAATATATGTGTAATCCAAGTTCATTTTTAAAAATACCAGAATAAAAATTTCATAGTGAATACTTTTCAGATTCTCAAGTGACTAATGTACCTTTGTTTAGCCTTTAGCTCATCATTATGCTCTTACTTCAACAAACCAAAGGAAGATGCCAGAAAGTGCCTGGAAGTTTGTGTTTTACCTTTGTGCCTGGTCTTATACTTGCTATGTTGTTATTTTGAGTGGTAATTACAAGTTCTTCCAAAAGCCTAGTACTGTTTGGGAAAGTAAGTAAGATGTAATCATTCTTGTCTTTCTTGACATAAAAATTTTGGAGTATTTGTAACTAACTTATAAATGAAATTATGACTATTATCATTAACTTAAAAGGTTCAAGTAAATTAGATAATTGTCTTTCTGTTAAAACTATATAAAAGGAACTTATTTAAAAACTTTCTTGTCGTATAATTGTATTTGCATAAGAGACATTAGTGCTAATTAATTGATGTACTGTTGTATTGATATTGTTTCATATTTATGTGTTCATAACAGATTGAATGCACATAAAACCAACGACAGCTTGATAAAATTTTTTTACACACACACACACACACACACACACACACACACACACACACACACACACACACAAAAAAAAAAAAAAAAAAAAAAAGAGAGAGAGAGATACATTTCACAGTTCTGGAACATAAAACTCTTTTCTGTATCACAGAGCATAATTAGTGGTTAAACTAAGAAAGTTAAACACAACACAATGCAAAGCGCATCTAATGAGCGAAGCTCACAAGGAAATAATATTCCAAAGTGAGAAACTCAAACTTATGCTGCGTCAAGTCTTATATAGCTTTTCCTTGGTTGCCGAGAAACCTCTATTGCATTCCTCCTCAAAATTACTGGAAGGCATATGAGTGCTGAATACAGGTACAGTTACATATAGGATCAATTGCAGTTATTCAATTACAACACTTATTACAGTTATACAGGGACGGGACCAAAATGTTGCTGAATAAGTCGCAAAGTTTGGGGACTTTTGGCGATTTCTTGCCAAGTTTGGTGATGGAAATTAGTCGCCAAAACCATCGCCTGCTTGGCGATATTTCACTAATTTAGTGATCAATACTCTTGGAAATTTAATGAAAAGCTCTTCTATCATGGAAAGCACAATGCAGCCTTATAGATCAGAAGGCCATCAAAGTACTCTTTACATTTTAAGAGTTGATTAATAGTAGTAGGTTTTAAAAATGGGTCAAAATTTTAGATTCTTAATGTTAATTGAATTTGGTATATAAATATTCTCTCTCTCTTTTTTTAACTAGTCTTAATTGATTCCTTCTTTCAGAATTAAATATTTAATAATAATCTCAATAAATTGCACATATTTATAATGATTTATTTTTAAAATTTGTATTTTTGAATAATTTTATTTGGGGGGGGATTATTTTATAACATAAAGAATGTTTGTAATCATTTTAAAATACATGTACTTCTAAACATACCTGCAAAAAATTATACTTTTTTTATTCAAAATTTCCCAAGATGTATGCGAATTTATAAAATTGGTGTGCTTTGAATTTGGCATGTTTGTTATAAGCAGTAAAAATGCCAGATGGGGTTTACATACTTTGTTACAATCTTTAGTCAATTGCAACAGCTATTTTGAACCTTAAATTTTCAAATAAACTTTTACTGAGTATTATTCATGGGGAATTTCTTGATTCTTGAATTTCTTGAATTTCATTATTGTTATAATGCCTGATAAATATTCATTAATAATATAAGAAAAGCTATTTTTTAAATTTATAAAGAATATGAACCAAAAGTTTTTTCTTTTGCCTTTCATAAGAGTAAATTTTTAGCTTTGTTATTTTATTGCTTGTTATGTAGCTTCATTTTATATGCAACAGAATTAATTTTACTGATTTTAAAATTGTGCATCATATACACATTCAATATTTCTGAGTACGTCAAACAGTGCATCAAAAATAGGAGTAAAATATGCTTCTTCTATTGCAAAAATGTTTAACTGCAGCAAAATCTGTTAGAATATAAGATTTTTATCTTTATTTCTGTGTGTAGCAAAAGGAACAAATAAAAACGATGAATTATGATTTAAGGTGTTTTATGTCCAAAGCTATTTCGTAGCCTTCATAATGAAGTTTTTAAACAAACTCCTGTTTATGTTTGAAGAGGCCCCTTATTATCATCAAAGACCTTTTTTTTTTTCCAAAGCGAGACATATTTTTATGTAATCATAGGCATTAGAATTAACACATTTTTAAAAGTTATGATTTATCAACACCTGAATTCTGATCATTAGTAATACAGTACAAAGTCCGAAATCCAGACATCCATTATCCGGAGTGATCTAAAATCTGGACCTCAAAACCAACAACAACGTTTTCTTGTGGGCTTTATGAATGCACATTTGATTCCCCCCTCTGCGCATAATAAAACATCCAGATAGTCCCGATTCTTAATTTCACTTCGACACTAAATAAAATACCTTGTTATTGAAGAAACAATCATTTTAGCATAAATTTGTACGATCAGTAATTTGGTTCCGTTGCTGCGTATCTGCTTGGCATACATCTCAAAGCGAAACATTCCACATAGATACATCGTTGATCAGACGCCAACCTGGCGAATCATTATTTATTATATTTTCCTTTCATCATCACATATTTATCAAAACATGACAAATTGAGTAATGACTCGTGTAGCGATGCCTAAACACATGTTTTATGTTAGTAATTGAATAATAAAGGAGTGTGATAACCTTTTCTGTTGACATTACGCTTGGCGATATTTACAGATTTAAGTTAAATGTGCTAAAAAAATGTTGACGAGGAAGAATTTATCCAAAATTTCTTTCCATATGCTAAAAATAAATTTTGTTGATGATACTCATAGACCCAAAGATTACATTTAGGGCTATTTGAATTAAGAATAATTGATTTGTTATTCACATAAACCCAGAACCAGCGCCAGGGGTCGTATGGCTGCAACGAGTTGCAGAATTTAGGATCCGCAGAGACTGCATCAGGCAGTAAGATATCTAGCGTCGGCCTTCAATAAGGCTTAAGTATATAGTGGGAATTTATTTATTCAGAACTCTTATAAGCCTTAACTCTTTCGCATCGAGAGAGGACCAAATCTCTTTTACTCAAACATCGAAAACGCCCATCTATGCTTTTCCTTTCTCCATGACAAATCGAATACTACAGGGCTAACAATAACTTATTAAGTAAAGCGACAACTTCTTTCTTGGACTCTTTCACCCTGTGTGAAATTCCCCCTTGAGACGGGATTGCAACTTCGGGCATCAATAGCTAAACATTGACAGTAAACAAAGAGGAAAAAAAGGTGCATTAAAATAACAGAACTACTTTTAGTCGCTTAAAAAGAATGACTGACATGTCATTTAACAACTCTTGAAAGCAATGAGCAATGCAGTAACGTGATGGGGGGGGAAGCACTAGGTAGGAAATTATTCAGGCAGCTGGGGTGACCTGCCTTTGTCTGAATGCTCGGGCGTTTGGGGTGACTTCGATGTGAAAGAGTTAAGCATGTGTAAAAAATAGACATAAATGTAATAAATAACTAATACAATTCAGGCATAATTGTCTCAGTGCGTGATAGAAGCAAAATAAAATTTAACGGAACAACTTGTTGTTAGTCACCAAGCTCATGATGCATAGCCAAATATGTGTGATAACAATGCTTCTCAATCATCAATAAATTAATGAATGGCGAAATCAGTAGTGTGGTTCTATAGAAAAGTTAGTCGAAATTCTCGAAATGGCAGTTACAGGACTTCAACAATGTAACTGAACACGAGATTATGTCTGTCTACAAAATTAAAGAGAAATTATTAGCACAAAAAAACAAAGCAACTTGCATAACTGGCGTTGAAGGAAATGTTTAATAGGGTAAACAAATAAATATTAAGCTTTTTTTTTTTTTGTTTTGTTTTGTAAATTTTGACACACTTTAGATGATAAATACTTCATTATTTCATAAATCAGATTTCATAATAATTTCTACATGCCATCTTACTAGATTTAAACTGTTGATCTAATATCCGGAAAAATCCGGAATTGCCGAATTCCCGACGGGTCTGGATTTTGGACTTTGTATAATAAATGATGATTATTGTTACATTTACTTTCATATTATCACTATTTCTGTTATACACTGGCATGCAAAACTTAAGCGACTATGTAAATTTTAATCAGATAGCCATTAAATTGTAGAAAAGGGGCTCTTGCGTTCAGTACAATGAACACGCAATTCAGTAGAAAGGTCTTGCGTATGCAAATGTCAAGAAAAAAACATCACAGGCCACGTGAGCGTACGCATAATGCGTACAATCGGCACGCTCAATTCGAGGCTACCGTAAAAGGAAGGATGGAAACGCAATTAAAGACATTCGCTGCAAGTACAAGGAGTTCTTTCGTAAAATATGGCTTGAAGAAATGATCTGGATGACTTCACACGTGGAAGAATGATCGAAAATCGGGAGTAGGGGCGAAGTGTGACCAGTATAGCTGAAGAGTTCGGAATCAACAAAAGTGTCTTTTCGCACGCTTGGAAAGTCTTACAAACCATAGGTACGGCTGTTAGAAAGGTTGGTGGTGGCTGTTAAGGAAAACACCTGCAGTGGATGACCGATGTATTGTCCTGCAGGCGAAAAGAGCCCGAAACCAGTCACCAAACTCCATAGTTCAACAACTGTGTACAGCAACAGGGCGACAATTGTCGCGGTTTACTGTGTGCAGACACCTTCAAAAAGGTGGCTTATTTGCCTGCGGTCCTGAACGCTGCATCCCTTTGAAAATTGACCATCGGCGTCACCGTTTAAAGTGGTGCAAGAAGCGCAAAAGTGGGCATCTCATCAATGGAGTTGTATCCTCCTTACAGATGAGAGTCGTTTTAGTGCCACAAGCGATTCTCAACACAAATTGATTTGGAGAGAGGTCGGAATACGGTTTAATCTCAGTAACATCACGGAAAGAGACGGTTACGGTGTCCTGAAGATTTCGTCTGGAGAGGCATCATGCTGAACGGACGGACAGAGCTCCACGTTTTCGACAGAAGTTCTGTAACGGGAGATTGCTATCGTCAGGAGGTGATCCTTCCTCATGTGCGTCTGTTCCGAGGTGTCATTGGAGCAGACTTCATTTTTATGGATAACAATGCTCGGCCACACCAGACTCCTGCTGTTCAGAAGCTACTGAAAAGTGAAGATATTACTTGAATGGATTGGCCTTGCATGCTCCCCTGATTTAAATCCCGTAGAATATGTGTTAGATGCCTTGTGGCACGATTACATCCTTCGGGGAAAACCCAGCAACTGAAACAGATGCTGATTGATTAATGGGCCATCTTATCTCAAGATCTGTTGGACAATCTGGTGCTGGTTATGGAGAGACCGTTCGAGCAACCATTGCAGTAAGGGGAGGGCATATCTCATAGTAAGGAACATCTGCTTGTTGTTCTTCCTCTGGTACAACAATCATGTATAACAATACTATGGGTTCAATAAAGCCTATTTTTGTTTGATTTCATACTGTATGCATTGTATTCATTTTTAGCGCAATTATGTTTTTGTCATCGTTTAAATACAAAATGTCTCTTAATTCTGAATTTCATGGTTCTCAGATGATTTCTCGTGGAGTTATGCAAAAAAGAACATCTGTTGCTTAAGTTTTGCACACCAGTGCATATTCTATAATACAGTCAAAAGTCGTTAATTCGGGTGCCACAGAGGTTATTGAAAACGAAACAATTTCGATTGACAAGTTAGTCGTTATTCTCGGCACAGCAATTACGGGACTTGAACTGCGGAACTTTGTAACTAAATAAGAAATTGTCTGTTTATAGAATTAAAGAGAAAGTATTATCACATAAAACGAAGCAACTTAAACAACTTACCTTGAAAGAAATGTTTAATAAAATAAACAAATAAATATTAAGCTTTTTCTTTTTGTAAATTTTGATACCCTTTAGATCATAATTGTTCTTTATTTCATAAATTACAGTTTCATATTTTTTAATTTTGTAATTTCTGCATTCCATCTTAGCAAATTTAAACTGATGATCTATAATCCTGAAAAATCAATAATCCGGAAGCCGAAGTCCCGACGAGTCCGGATTAACGACTTTTGACTATATCAGAATTTATTAAAATTCTTCTTGTAAAATAATGTAAAATATTTTAAAGGTTCTCTTCTCTTTGGACAAATTACTGATTTTATACTAATCGAAATTTTAACACCTGCATTATGACTTTTTCCATCAATTCTGCCTAAATGTACACGTTAGTGACATTGGCAATTCAGCCATGGGTACTGTATGTATTATATTCTTCTCGATTGAAAAACTACTCTAGTCTTTGGTAAATTTCTGATTTCCTTAGTCTAGAAATCTGTGTTCAGAAATCGCACTAAGTTAGGTTGGTTGACTATTTAAATATGGCAAAGCAAATGGAGGCTATCTGCATGAGGGTAGGAATGCCTTTATGGAGGACTTTTCTAAGGAAAAGAGGCTTGTATTTACATTGCACATGGTGAAAATCACAAAAACCAGGCCGACAGTTCATTGCCTGGTTTGGTTTCCAGGATAAACAATCAGCAATCTTTAGCTGCTCGACCATTAATGAAACTGCTTAAATTAAGAGCAAGGTTATTATATTCATAAAGTATCTTATATTAATTAACCAGTTATAATAATTTAAATCGTTGCTGTAACTTCTGGCCCACCAGCGGCCGAGTGGTAAAGTCGGTGAACACTGGTAGTTCGGTCCGAGGTTCGAATCCCGCAAATGGGCTGGCTGCATGGGTGTTTTCGTGGGTTTCCCCATGTGTAACGTGTATACAAGCCAGTGTCCCTTAGAAAGTCCTCCACGAAGGCATCCCTCCCCTTAGGCAGATAATCCTGGTGTACTTTGCCATAATTAAATACACCACCACCACTACTGTAACTTCTGCTTTCTGTATTTCTCACCAGAATGCAAATTAATTTTCTCTGTATTTAAGCCAAAAATTTTAAACCTTTAGTTGAGAGAGCGACTGGCTATGCCTTTTTGCTGCTAGTACTTTTAGCCAGCAGTGTCCTAAAATTGTATTCCTTCATTAGTATTCTTGCTAGCTAATGCTTTAAATTTGCATTCTGTAAAATATATGAGGCAACTTATTCTATTTAATGTGTAATCTTTGACTATTGTTATTGATATTTGAATTTATTTCCTGTTCTGTTAATTTAAAATATCCACAAGTTGTAGAAATTTCATCTGTAGCACAAGAATGTGTCTTAGGTTTAGAGTAAAATAAAATAAATGGAATAAATAGAAAGAATGAAAATTAAATCATCAGTTTCCCTCTGAGATTTGCAGTATCATTTTCTAAAAGTGCGGCTTTTTTTTAACGAATTCTTTTTTAATACAAAAGAATTATGGACTAACCGCTACGTGGCCAGCCTTCGCCTGGCTTTTAAATGTACCGAGAAAATGCCTACAGAGAACACCAAACATTAAATTTAAAATCTGCACAAAAACGTAAAGTAAAAAAAATCTCATTCAATTTCTGAAAAAATCGCTTCAAGGTTCACTAGCTCTTTTCTAGATGCACCTAATTTCGTAACACTATGTCTGTTAGCTTACCCACAGCATGAACAAAAGACACACATACAGACAAGCTCTTCCTTTTATATATATATATATATATAGATTACATAGCAGCCAACATTTTCAGCATTTCACTGCTAGGTTTCCACTTTTTTCATCACATCTTTTGGTCTCCTTTTTCTTAATTTTTAGCCTTTACTATTGATTTTTCACAATAAATTAAATTTATTGAATTAATGAAACTTTTAATTGTGTAAATTTTATTCCTTTATCCCAGTGATTTTCGGTATAATTTCTATTATTAAACTTTATTTGATCTGAATCTCTTAACCAATGTTGACTTAACTGACATTAGTTAAGTCAACAATCATTGGTTAACTGACTCTTAACCAATAATTTGTCAACTTTTTCAAGAAGATTCGACCAATGTTTAAATCAGTTAATATTTGCATATAATTTTTGTTTACACCAATGTATGATGCATAAAAAAATCTATCTTTACAATAATATGTAAATTAATGGTTAATTTAATCATATTTAAAAATATATTGATAAATGGAAGCTTTTTTTCCCCCTTTACTCAGGATCTTCTTAGTATGAATGTGTAAGACAACTACAAAATGAAATTAGCTAAAGAAAATAAAGTTTAGAATATCTTATTAAATATTAATGTAGTTTTATATTATAATGCACATATTATGATGTAAACCAGTGGACGATTTATACATACAACTAGCTGAACAACTTAAATCATGCATTATAAAGCAAATTAAAAGCAATCTGGATTTCATTAGAATCCAGAATTTTGTCACCCTTCAATGCAATCTTCTTTGAAATTCTCAAGTTTTGGTGCAACAACTTCCCAATTTTTCAAATTTCAAAATTGGTAGCTATGAAATTATATATATAATTTGGCAGTTGACAAATGGCCTGAGTAATCGTTGGTAAATTCTTCCTTGACAAATATATCATGCATATTGGAAGATTGTGTGGAAAATCACAAAATGTCTTCTTTTCACTGTTATCAAAGAAGTAAAACAGTACAATAAAAGGTAAAGCCACCCACACACACACAAAAGTTTCATATGAAGATGCTGGTTTGAAGGATCTTTCCTTTTCATATGGTTATTTTGCCTGTATTAATACTGATGTCAAGAGTACATATTGTGGAATTCTAAAAAGGAATTAATGTACAACTCATTGGAATAATTATTTATTTATATTAGTTTTTCATATTCATTTTAATTTACTTGTCTTAGTTTTCTATATTGATTTAATTTGGTAAAATAGTAAGTTCTATTCATGAAGTATATCATGTATATTCATTTCTATCTCTAGTTAGACTTTACACCAATATAATTGATTGATGTTAGATTGCGCCTTGTTAACCAGAAAGTGCCTATTTTTTTTTTATAAAAATGTTTTGAGGTTGTGTTATACAGAATGAATAGCAGGCTTTATCAATTTTCTTGTGTATGGTACCAATAGTTAGTAGCATTTTATCTTCCTTCCCCCCCAAAAAAATTGGGTGCTAACATTTATATTTTTTGCTAGATAGTTAAATGTACAACTCATGCTGTTGAAAAGGAATTAACTTAAATATATTTTAGTTATGTTATTTCCTCTTTGTGTGTAGCTGAAAATTTAAATTTTTGAAATTTGTTTGAAAATTAAAAATGCTTTAATTTTTTTAAATATTCTTTATAAAATTATTTGTACCAAATTATGGTATTTCTTATTTGGCTTACAGTTGTATATTCTGAGGAACTTGCTGAGGATAATGTATTTTTTACAGCATCAAAATTAAAAGTTATATTTGAAAACTGAGGAATAGAATAGAGTGGGAGAAATCAGTTACTGCATGTATAGAAGTTAAAAGATAAATTGTTTTAAAGCCTAGTATTTTTGTATATAATACAAGTTTGCTAGCATTCTCCTCAAAATAGGTCTGAAAAATTAAAATAACATGAATATTTCTTTTTTGTGCTTTTCCACTTTAAATGCCTTTTTTCTTAAATGCAAATATTCCTGCTGTCATAGTGCCATCTGGGGATCAAACCATTTGTGAATGGGTGTTTAATTTACCAAACTTTTACAATTAAAAAACCCATCAAAATTCATGTCAGGTGCATAACAGAAAAGTACCATTTTATATATAGAAGATTTCTTTATATTACTTATGAAAAATATTGTATTTCTACAAATGTAATTATATTGTTTATAACAGTATATTTACTAACATTCTCTTTTGTTTCAGATTGGAATTTAGCAGATGCCCCTCCAATGGATATTTATTTCATGTACATGGCTCAGTGTGGGTTTTACCTTCATTCTTTATATGCTACTTTGTTTTTGGATACATGGAGGAAAGATTCTTTTGTAATGATGATTCATCATGTTTTAACTTTAGGGCTAATCTCCATCTCATATTCTTTAAGGTAAATAACTAGTTTGTTCAAGTATGTTAAGGAATGCAATGTTCTTTGTTCTGCTTACTGAAAATCCCTTTAGTTTAATTCACTTTGTATATTATATGATAAATTATAAGATGATGGCATGAATAGTAGTTGTCAAGGTCAATTGAACTTTCTTTTGTTGTTGACATATGCAGCCACAAATAAACTTAGTGTAAAAAAGAACCGCACCATTTCGTAGTTTTTAAGATGCTACAATAAGTAAGTATTAGGCTTCCCTGTCTTGCAAGACTTAACTGCATATACAGGTTCCAACCCCTCTCAGCACGAGGCGTGGAGGTTCAACCTTCACTCTCACACTTTAGAGAGCGAAGCATGCTGCAGCACTACAAAGTTTTTGCTTGATGGGTACCAAAACAATTTATCCATAAACTGAAAGAATGCCATGTGGATATCTTTGAAACACTATTATAATATTATAAAACTGAAGGAGATGAGTTAATTTCAGAAAAATGGTCACTGGAGATAAGTGTTTTGAACACTACTTGAAGATAGAGATCAAATGAGCCAGCGAAGAGTAATGACATTCAAAGAAAATTTGTGTGTCTGTTTCCATCGGTAAAGTTATTTTTGGGCTCTTATAGGACTGTGAAAGTGTAATCCTGGATTGCTGTGTGAGCATATGACTTAATATGAAGAGTAGAAGAGTTTCACTGCCCGAAAAATTTTAAGAAACAACTATAAAAGCTCATATACCTTGAATGTCTAGCAGCTAAGAACATGGGAAGTGCACAAGAGCTTTAGGTATCATGTCTTAAGTTGGTATTACAGCTTTTTAAAGATACACACCTTAGTTAAGGCACCACTGGTCAAAATACAAGTTGTACAGTGATTTTCCATCTTTTATATTAGTGTGTTCTTATGTTTCTGAATGCACTATCTATTCATTGTGTTATTCACTGTGAATACAAAATTTATTTGTGGCAAATAGCACCTTAAAGCTTCTGCGAATCTTCTAATATTCTTTTAGTTGGGAGCTGTAGTGATGCAATTCATTGATCTAGTGTGTCCAACACATGTTCTATCATATTTATTTCTGGAGAATATGCAGGTCTATCCATTTGCTAGATTCCTTTGCAATCAAGATAATCAGTTACTAACATACCATGTTGTGGGCAAGAATTATCGCATAGTAGGAGGAAGTTGTTATTGAACCTCTGAACAAGATATGATGATGTATAGATATTCATAATTGCACTTGTAAAAATGTGTAGTCTAGTACAATCATTAAAAATGATCCCTGCATATACTATGATTTCATTTATTTATGCCTTTCATGAATGCTTTCAAGCATATTGCTTATGTTTTGTTTCCTCTAATTTATAACAGATGTGAAATCACTCCTCAAATAAAAACAAGACTCATCAATAAAGAAAACTCAACTCCTGTTCTTGGTGTTCCAGATATGATGATATCTGCACAATTGCAACTAGGCACATTTTACTGCCTGTGTTAGTAGAATGCAAATCATGGAATTCCTTGCATAGATTGTTATGCAAACTGTCAGTCACAGTCTGGATAGTCAAGTTCCTGTAGTTGTAGCAAACTCCCTTGCAATCTTACTTACTTGTTCTAAGTGTTTGTTGTGTCAGGTTTTTTTTACCTTTACCTGTTTTTTTGTATATATCAGCAATATCTTTAAATCATTTCAAAATTTTTGACATGATGCTTTCAGCTACTTTTTGTCTAGCTTGCTTCTCTTCTCTCAGTCAGTTTTGTCTCACAGTCTGTCAAATGCCTTCTCAGTGACATTGTTCCACCTTTCACACATAATTATTTTATCTGTTTATTACTACACATTCAGTACTACTATTACAGTTCTTGAAATTAGAATCTTAAAGTTTTTTTTAAAAAACTTTTTTCATATGCCTAAGCAACAGGCACAAAAATTTGCATTTGTGTAAATCCCACTCGACTATCAATAATATTGATTTTGAGATATCAACTACCTTTTATTGGATTTCATGTAATAGAATTATAGCTTCTTTTTATAGTTGTTGCTTTAATTTTTCCTGCTAGTATATTATGACATGCTTAAAAAATGTTTACAACCTGTAATCAGGTTAAAATATTGCATCTTATATACCATATTTTCTGGAAGAGCATATCAGCATAAACACTGCATTGAAAAGTAAAGGAAAATAAGGGGAGTACTAAAATTGCACAGAAACACTGTACTGGCAAAAGTACCACATTAAGCTGAATTGTACATGACATTGCTGTGAACATTATAGTCGTAAAATCTTGACCTTTGTCATGCTATATGGTTTATTAGTTAAGAAAAATCTGATGTGTACACCACATGACTTCCTTGTACGGAATATTAAATTAGATGCATTTTTCCTGCATTTCATTTAAACTTACTGAATTGAATGAAATCTGTTTCGTCGATAGCGCATAAACCACAATAGAATAAATGCGCTTTTTAAAATTAACTATATTAATTTACCATAGCGATACTCTGGCACTAGGTTCATTCAACAGTGTTCCATCTCGTTCGTTTTGTAACTCGGAATGGGAAAAAAAATTATATCATCTCAAGAATTATCTAATCGTTGCCACATGTTCTATTCAAATACTATAAGAATCTAATATGATGTATAAAAGAAATTAAACAGTTTTTCACAGGCAATTCAGTGCTGCTTACCTAATGTGCATGCGCTACTCGTAAACATTCTGTGTCAAAACAGACTGATGATGGTACTTTCTGCTAATATGAAACAATTATTTCCTCGAATTTCATTAGAGATGTATTTCTCATTCAATTAATTCATTTCTCACTTTCCAGCAAAGCAAAAATAATAAAAACACAAAATATCTTCATTAAAAATTTAAATATATAGAAAAACATAAAAGACCAACTACAGTTAAAATATTAAACAATTTTTACAATTAAAATTACAGTTTCTACACAAAAACGAGCAATTCAGCCAACGGGCAAGAAGACGGATTTTTCGGTGCACAAAACTGAAAGTTTACTTTTGGTCTCATGTGGCAAAAAGACGCTGAAGGCGTAGAAACTGATTTAATTTGTTGTGGGCGCTATGCTGTGTCAATATATGAGATAATTTAATAATTTAAATGATAATTCCAGAATGGATTAAGCATAATTTAATTCGCAATAATAAAAGAAGACGTTACTTTGTTGTTGCGAAGCTTAGTTTCTCTAGATTGGCAACAAATTCACTATTCTACTAAGTTTCAAATGTAAAGAAATATGGCTGCTATGGGAAAAAATAGGCATAGCATCACTTAAACAATTTTTAAATTGTTGATAATTATACAACTATAACATGCAGGTTAACTAAAGGCATAAAAATCTTAACTGGAAGATAAGAACAACATAATTCAATCATTTTTATAAGAATAAAGAAACTTGAGACGGTGCAGCTGATTGCAACCAAAAAGCGAGGTGCACATCTACATGTTATAGCAGTCCCACGTACAAAATTTCAACATTCTGAGACTGCTCATTTTTGAGTTATGCAAGATGTACGTACATACAGACACCATAAAAAAATCTCTTCTGAAGCCATTTTAAATCAGTTTTATAATTCGTTTGGAGAAAGAGTCATTTATTCTGTCCTAATGTACAGATGTCACGCAAAAACATCATTAAATTGCATTAAATAGCAGTCAAGATGGATATTTTTGTTGAAATATGATACTCAAAATTTTTCACAATTACTATACTTCCTTTTTACTTTGTATAAGAAAGTAAAAATGCATGAATTGAAACCATAACTCAAATAAATTAGAGGTTAGAAATGTTGAAAAGAGATTTATATTTGCAAATGTACTTGCATTTACCTACTAAAGAAGTCCATATCTGTAATACTCATACCATATTAAAAAATATTGCAATGAGATACTAAGTTGAATGACAGAAAAATTTTTTAATTTTGCTAAGAAAAATAATTGCAACAAACATGCATCATATGAAACCATCAAAATTGTATACTTCACTATCTGGATTAAAAAGATTTAGCAAACCCTGATCTAAATTAAGATCTAGTTCAAGTACGCCAAATTCATTCTCTTCCTTTGCTATTTTTTTATGTGGGGATATAATTTCAGCTTTTTTGAATCTTGATACAGTCAAAAGTCGTTAATCCGGACTCGCCGGGACTTCGGCGATTCCGGATTATCGATTTTTCCGGATTATAGATCATCAGTTTAAATCTGGTAAGATGGCATGCAGAAATTATAAAATTAAAAATATGACACCGTAATTTAGGAAATAAAGAACAATTATGATCTAAAGGGTATTAAATTTACAAAAAAAAAAAAAAAAAAAAAAAAAAAGCTTAATATTTATTTGTTTACTTTATTAAACATTTCTTTCAATGTAAGTTGTTTTAGTTGCTTCGTTTTATGTGATAATACTTTCTCTTTAATTCCGTAAACAGACTTAATTTCTTCTTCAGTTACAAAGTCCTGCTGTTCAAGTCCTATAATTGCTGTGTCGAGAATACCGACCAATTTGTCAATCGAAATTTTTTCGTTTTCAATAACCTCTGTTTCAACAAATTATAATGACGAGGAATTTGATTTAAATCATATCAAAGACGGAGTACACCGAGATGAAATACTACATTTAGTAAGGAATTATAAGCCAAATAAAATAAAAACATCTGCTCTGAAGATAAGGATAGTGCTGACAGATTAACTTCCAATTCATTGCGCGCCGTGGCGTTTCCTATCCCCCCCGCGCCGCGGTGCAGCGTGAAATTGATAAACAGATTTCGGATTGGTTAGAGAAACGAAGGATATGCCTTTATCCATTTTTTGCAGCAATCCCACTTTTTGTTTAATGGGCTTCGAAACATACTTTCGCTTTGTAGATCCTTTACATATTAGTAAATATGTATCGGAAATTCTATTTAACATAACCAAAAGTCAAGCTTACTTTTATAAAATTGCTCTAACAGTCTGCAAAAAATAATAAGCCGGATCCAATTCGAACATTAAGGAACAAAGCAATCTGCAACATTAACTGAATTAGATAATTTTAGCTTAGCTTATACCGTCCGTTATACATTAAATGCACAAGCGTAAACGTATTATGTGCATGCGCACACGCATAATCGCAGCCGTAAAGGTCTTATGCGCATATGCGCAGAAAGTTTGTAGCTTTGAGGTCCGCATTATAGATCATTCCGGATTATGGGTGTCCAAATTAATGACTTTTGACTGTATTTTTCAACAATTTCTGCACACTTCCTACTCATTCTATAACTTCTTCATAAAATGCTCTAAGCATTTTGCTGCTTTTGGTGTTGTAATCCTTCAGTCATCTAACACTCCTACCATTTTTGGATTTCAGTCTTGAAGGTTTATTAACACTTTACCGACCGGCCGTTGATTAATCGACGTTTCTCCCCAGCGCTTACTGACCGGTCATCGATTAATCGACTTTTGATCTTTCTGTTAGATTTGGTTAGGTTAGATTGACAAGTAGCAAGCAGCGAGCATTCTTTATTCAGATAATCGGTGCTTTTTTCTAAGCTTCAGCCCTTAGAAATGAATGGAAAGGATAGTCTCGGCGAGTTTTATCTCGACGACCTGTCAGATTGTCTTGACTGCCGTTCAGCAAATAGTACTGATGACGAAAGTGATAGCAGTAGTATAGCCATTCGAAAGCGACGTCCTGTACCGCTAATATACAGTGATTCAGAAGACGAGGACATGAATAATAATGTGAAGACAACAATGATACATGGTCAACGAACGACAAGAGTATAATTTTGGAACCTTTCGAAGGCAGCTCTGGCGTAAAAATTATGCCAAGTTCCTCTGAAAGTGTAATGGATATTGTGAATTTATTCATTGGAAGTGACCTGATTGAGCACTTCGTGAGGGAGTCTAATAGATATCATTATCAAATTGTGGAAAAATATAGAATTACATCAAAAACGAAAAAATGGAAAGACGTCACGGTGACTGAAATGAAGAAATTTTTGGGCCTGATCATTCTCATGGGACAAGTAAAGAAGGACGTTCTCTACGATTATTGGTCTACAGACCCATCTATAGAAACGCCGTTCTTCTCGAAGGTTATGAGCAGGAACAGATTTTTACAAATAATGCAAAGCTGGCATTTTTGTAATAATAACGATATTTCTCCCAATTTGCATAGGCTGGTGAAGGTCCAGCCTGTCATTGATTAGAAGAGACAGTATTATCGGTCATTGGACCGTATAAGAACATGTGGCACCATATATATCAAGATAATTATTATAATAGTGTCAACATAGCTAAATTTTTTTTTAAAAAATAAATTGCGAGTGTGCGGGACGATTCGAAAGAACAGAGGTCTTCCTCAAATACTTCAAACGGTCAAGCTTTCAAGAGGCCAACATCAATTTCTTAGAAATGGCCATATTTTATTACAAGTATGGAATAATGGCAAAAGGAATGTAAACATGATATCGACAATACATTCTGCACAAATGGCGGAATCTAGAAACAGAAGCAGGACATCAGATTGCCCCATACAGAAGCCTATTTCAATAATAGATTATAATAAATATATGAAGGGTGTAGATCGCACAGATCAATATCTGTCCTATTACTCCATTTTTAGGAAAACAAAAAAATGGACGAAACGTGTCGTAATGTTCTTCATCAATTGTGCACTTTTTAACTCCTTTAAAGTATATACAACTCTGAACGGACAGAAGATTACATATAAAAATTTTCTGCACAAAGCGGCACTTTCATTGATAGAAGACTGCGAAACTGAAGAACAAGGTAAGGATCTACCTAATTCCGAACCCACAAGAACCACATCCCGATTTGATCATCCCGGAAGACCGGCAAATTTTGGAAAGCATAAACTAGTAAATATAGTGACCAGCTGTCAATGTAAAAAATCCCTATGACAATGCAGAGTTTGTGCAAGTAAAAAAAAACTAAGCAGAACAGGTTTCACTTGTAAATATTGCAACGTCCCACTACACAAAGGTGACTGTTTTGAGCGCTATCATAGTTTAAAAAAATATTAAACAACTTCTTTTTTTGACAAATATTGTTATATGGATTATGGTATATTTTATGTAAGTAATAAGAAAATAATTGTAATAGATAAAATAAATATTGTTTAATACTAATATGATTAAAGTAAAAGATTTTATTAAATTTCGTTACTTTACAATAACACGAAGTGTACAATTTTACCAGAGTTTAAGAAAAGCGCATATATTCCCGTGCGTTAATCTAGGCCGAAACCGAGCCGGTGTCTCAGACGATCTGCGGCTGAGCGGGCGGTGAAAGGGCATAGTATGTTCAAACCGCTACCGGTCGGTAAAGTGTTAATTGACAAATCTAATGGTAGTAAGATTTTTATCATATACCAGAAGTTATTGCTAAGGTCATTGACAATTTTTGACATCTAGTTTTCGGTGAGTTAAGTGAGAATGCATGGAATCCATTATTAACAACCCTTTTGGTTGGAAAAACTATCTTTTACAACACTGCCAAAATTTTTGTAGCTACTCATGCATGATTGTTTTGCACATCCATCTGTTTTTGTTTGCCCAAATTATTATGCCATTAGAAAAATCTTCCTTTGGAATGAATTTTCCTTTTTAAATGATCATCAGCATTAGATTGTCACTGTTTGTGGCACAAGCTGACTCAAATATAAATGAAGTTCTTTCATACTCTTTATGTTCTTTCGCTGAAGTCATTTATGTTCATTTTTTGCATCATAAATTTTGCCTGTAAGCGAATTTGTATAGTTGAAATTGCTACTCCCTTTCCTTGTTGCTCCTTTATCCATTTTGTAAGGTCATCCTCTAGATATGATTGTCTTATATTATCACTTCTTATGGCTTGTTTCTGTTATGGCATATTTTCAAGTTCCTTTTCAGTTCTCGAATTGTCCACTTCAAATTCTTAAGATGCTGCTCTGTTTTCAATCTGCTTAGCACAGGAAATTATACTAAGCCTAAAACTTGCAGTATAGCTTCGATGCTGTTTAAGTGTCAAAGTTTTCTATTTCCTTCTTACTGAAAACTATCCAATAAGTACTTATACCTAAGATGGCAGGATCTGTAGCAGGAAGAATGCCGAGAACAATCAATTTATGAAGGATGAGAAAGAAGAAATATGTTGGAGTTCGTTGTTGCAATACAAGTGGAGTTGTGTCCTTGTTTTGGAAGGGGCCACATTAGATTTGTGATAGAAAGAGGAGGAGAGGATAGATGGTAGTTCCACTAATATTTGTCAAGAGACAGAGAACAGAAGCTATTCAAGCTGATGTGAATGCTGATATGAAAAAGGGAAGAATGTACTTGTTTCGAGATCTTGTTTAGGGTGAATAAGGCACATAGGTCCATGCAACGGAAAGAGTATAAACACAATAAAATTTGCAGAAAACAACTGGGTGGTGTTATGTGTGGGGGAACAACCAATATGTTCCAAGCAATTAGACTTCTTACGGAATGCTGTTTTTTAAGCTAACATAAGCACCTCATAGATAGAAATGCTGCATCCACTGAAGTTTTAAATATGCAAGTACCTTGGCATTTCTTCTGAAAATTTCTTTACTTCTGTATCTTTCTGATAACAGAAATAAAATAAATATCTTTCTGATAGCATGAGACCAAACACAGCTTAAATAACAGTACAATACAGAAATTTCAGAATCTTTACGTATCCACATCATGCATATTTTCTGGATCTAGCATAAGTCATATATTTGGATCAATCAGTTGTTCTTAAAGAGGTATTAAATGGCAAACAGGTTCAGAGTAACAGTAAAGTGATTATATGTATAGTAGGAATGCTTATGTTTTCATTAGTCAGGAATTTTATTTTCTCATAGAATCTACGCATAAATGTTCGCATACATGCATGGAACATTGCATAAGCTATATCTAAAAGGAAGAAAAAAAGTTTTTAATCCTATTTCATATGTTCTGTTTATGAAAGAAAGTGTAAGGTTACTTTTTGACTCTGTATTGTAACTGTATTGCAATTGTTGTGTCTATGAAATTATTTATTTGGAATAAGACAGTTTTTGGAATTCAACTCTGTGTATCATACTTTTAAATCACTAACAAGTAGAGCACTTGATTTTGTACATAAGAGGACCTTTTTAATTGTATTTATTTGCATTATATTTTCTTTATGAAGGGAAAAATGTTTTTTAACATACTTTCTATAATTGTAGTTTGTGTTCAGGATTCCAAAGTGAAATATGAAAAGTTTATTACTTTGTGTAAATTTCATAATTTGTTTTGCTTTCATGTTCAATTTTATTTACGTAGAGGAATAAATAATAATCTCAGTGTATGTTTTGAATTTTATTTTTGTGTGTTTCAGATATCATAATATTGGGTCTTTGGTATTATTTACTCATGATGTGTGTGATATTCTTCTCGAATTTACAAAGTTAAATGTTTATTTCAAAATACAAGCCAACAGATTGGTCAAGAAACATGAAATTTTTGCAAACATTTCATTCTTTTGTTTTACTGTTTTATGGTAAGTCAAATTTTATCCTTTAGAATTTTCTAAACTTCTGTTTTATGATATGTAGATATTACAGATTTCTCATTTTTACAACTAATATTTTTTTTTTTTTTCCTGTAATTCGTGAAAAACTGTTTTATATTGCATGTGTTGATAGATTTCTTTTATATAAGTATTATCTAATGGTTCCGAGTAATATTATGTAATGTGATTGAGATGCTGAGAAAATATCCATCAATATTTTTTTACCAAATTTTTGGCTGATGTAATATAACTACATTTATTAATCCTCTAAATGATACAGGTTTTGGATTTGCTCATCTGTATTTAAAGAGCTTTTGTTGCTAAATTTTTATAATTACTTATTTTAGTCTCTGTTTTCATAAACTTCCATTTGGTACGATCATATTTACATTACATAAGGTAGTGAAATATTTTTAATTATAAGCTAATATATATGAAGTGAAAAAAAAAAAAAAAAAAAAAAAAAAAAAACCTCATGATTGGGCAACGTTGGTCATGCCACTCAGGGGGTTAAAAATGTATGAGAAACTAAATAGTTTAAATTATATAATCTAATATATATTAATTGACAGGAAATCTCATGAGTGGATAAAGGTGGTCATGTCACTCAAGTTTAATATGCATGTATTTAGGTTTTATTTTGGTTTCATTTCACAAATTATCTTGATGAAGTTTCAAAGGAAGTATATTTTTATTTATATTAATCATGTAATATGTGTTTCTGTAAAATCTTAATCAGAGTAGAAACTGAAAGAAATTTCATAACAAAAGTCCTTGTTTTTACCAGCTGCTCTTAAACAAAATTTTTATAAGCAGACCTTTTTTTTTTAAGGTAGTGATACTGTAATGTGAAGGTATATACTTCTCAATAGCTACAGAAACTCATTTAGTTTTAAATGATAGCAACGGAATTTTTAAAATGAATGTTTTGAAATGCCGTTTTTACCGATGATGGGATTTTTTTACAAATTTGTTGGCAAGTGTAGTATTTTTTCGTGAAATATTACATCAAAAATAACTTTTCCCTTTTTAGGATATGACTTCTTTTATTATGTGGGGCTAAATTTGACAACTTACCAACATTTTGGCAATTTGTGTAATTCAGAGATTTGTGAAATTTTGACAGTTTTTGTTATAACATTTGATAACATTACAAACATTTAATAACATTGATAAATATTAAAAAATAACACTGTATTAAGGTAACATTGAAATAAAACTTTTTTATTTTCTCTTGCCATATTTAAAAGTGACGTTATTTTTCGTTTTGGTACTTAGAAATATTTTGATTTTGAAAATTAAATAAGATAATAAATTCTATAAAGCACAGTTTCCAAAATATTAGTATATGAAGAAAACACTTAGAAAAAGCAAAAATTCTACTGTAATTATTTAAAAATTAATTTCATTATTTTTTTCATGTTAAGAGTTTTACCCATACAACTGTTTTAGAATATTTAAACTTGTATTGGTTTCTCTTGATAATTCATTGTACCCATCTGTTTTCTGAACCTTTTTCAAAAATCTTCTGACTTTTTGCTCTTACAGAGCATGTAGAGTTAATTTTTCTTTTGGATTATAGATTTTGCACCTTAGAAGGTCTAAAGGCAAGATATGTAGATTATTATTTTGAAGGCAAGATATTTATAGACCTACAGTTTCCTTAAAAATTGATGAAATGAAGAGTGTCTTTATGGTATTAACACGTAATGGATATATTTTATATAAAACTTGTGATGAATTACTTATATTTTGGAGAATTTATGGAAAAACAGTTATTTCAGAAGTCTTCTCTTAAAATGTTTATCTTCACTTTATTTTCTTATCTTTCCACCAGACATAAATATCGAAGCAAACAAAGATAGCAAAGAATTTGAAAACCAGCAATTTATTAAAAGTCCTCATATTTGTATCAGTACGCCATACATACCTCAGTGCCTGCCCTCTATTTTAAAACTTTTGCTCTAAATTTTGTTGCTCGGTGCTTCACGAAGTTCTAAAAATTCAGCCACGCTGGCTCCGGTGTCTGCTTTGACCTTGTATCATTTCATATTTATTCTCAATATCCATATTATTATAGAAGTAAAATTAGTATTTTCTTCTATACATTTTAAGTGCAGACAGTTTTGTAGAATAACAAAAATCTTTAATTAAATCTGAAAATTCTAGAATGACTAGGAAATTCATTGAAAAAGAAATTGGTTTTATTAAGAGAGAAATTTATTCTTCAAAGGTACACTGCGCAAAAAAAAGGGGGGACAGTTTTATATCTCCCATTCTACTGGGCCAATTGATAAAATTCAAATTGTTTTTCATGTCTCGAAAGCACGATTTAGGATATATATTAGATTTATATATAGCATTATTCTAACATAGGTATTTTGACACAAAATCGAACCTTTTTTTGAAATGACATACCAATTTTTTTCCCTGTTCCGATTCTACAACTTAAATTATGCCAGAGTGCCAAGTTTTGTAAAAATCGCATGAGTAGTTTTTAAAAAATTAGCTCTCAAAATTTTAGCTCCTCAATGTTAATTGAATTTGGTATATATTTATTAATCTATCTTTTTTATTAAACTTTTTTTTATTCTTCCTTTCACCCATTTTTTAAAATTTATTTTTAAAATTTCTATTTTAAAATTATATTTATAAATTTTTTGAAAAAATTTTTGAATTATAAACTATAAAATTTTTACCATCATCTTGAAGTAGGTGTATTTCTAAGAATACCTGCAAAAAATCAGAGTTTTTTTTATTCAAAATTTTCCGAGATGTGCACAAATTTACATATTTTCGTGTTTTGAAATTTGGCACCTCCTTTTTTTTTTTTTTTTTTTTTTTTTTTTCCAGCGTTAATAACGCCAAGTGTGGTTTATGGGTTTTGTTACAGTGAATTGTCACAGCTATTTTTAACCTTAAATTTCAAATAAATTTTTACGGAGATTTAATTATATGAAATTTTTCCCCTCAATGAATGCATAATAAATATTTATGAATACTATATGAAAAGAATTTTTTTTAAAAATTATTGATGATATTATTCAAATTTTGAACTTTTTTTTTAAATTTCTTTCTTCCTTTAAAAAAAAAATATTTATAAGAGTAAATTTTTACCTTTTCGGTGTTATCGTCTGCTACTTTACTTTAACTCCATTTAAATTTAATTGTCTAAAACTGAGAAAGATTGTTTGATGTTTATTTTCACAATGTTTTTAAGCAAATACGGCATCGACAGTTTGGGTCATGTCTCAGCTTTAAAAAATATATACAGTCAAAAGTCATTAATCCGGACTCGTCGGGACTTCGGCGATTCTGGATTATCGATTTTTCCGGATTATAGATCATCAGTTTAAATCTCGTAAGATACCATGCAGAAATTCTAAAATTAAAAATATTAACCGTAATTTATGAAATAAAGAACAATTATGATCTAAAGGGTATCAAAATTTACAAAAAAAAAAAAAAAAAAAAAAGCTTAATATTTAATTAATTTATTTACTTTATGAAACATTTCTTTCAATGTAAGTTGTTTAAGTTGCTTCGTTTTATGTGATAAATTCTTTAATTCTATAAACAGACATAATTTCTTGTTCGTTTACAAAGTTCCGCTGTTCAAGTCCCGTAATGGCTGTGCCGAGAATACCAACTAACTTGTCAATCGAAATTTTTTCGTTTTCACTAACCTCTCTGGCACCTTCTTCATGTCTTTATCCATTTTTTGAAGCAATTCCACCTTTTGTTTGATGGACATCAAAACATACTTTCGTTTTGTAGATCCTTTGGGAGCTCCAGCATCGGAAATTCTATTTGACATAATCGAAAGTTCAAGTTTACTTTTATAAAATTGCTCTTACAGTCTGCAAAAAATAATAAGCCGCATCCAATTCGAAGATTAAGGAACAACGCAATCATCAACATTAACTGAAATAGATAATTAAATAATTTAGCTTATACCATCCATTATACATAAAACACGCACGCGAAAACGTATTCTGCACTTGGCGCACACGCATATGCGCAGTCGTTAAGGTCTTACGTGCACGCGTAAACGCCTATGCGCATGTGTCATGCGATGCATGCGCAGAAAGTTTTTAACATTGAGGTCCAGATTATAGATCATTCCGGATTATGGGTGTCCGAATTAACGACTTTTGACTGTATATAAATATAAATTTTTATATTAATCCTCTTAGAAAGAATGTTTTAAGTAGTAATTTCCTCTTGTGTTGTAGATTATATAAAAAACATTTTCTTTAATATAGAAATTATTAGGCTTAAAAATTCAAAATAATATGATTTAGATTGTTTTCACTCAATATAAGAATCGGGTCACTTGGTGGTACCGGAAAAGCGTTGCTGGAGTGGTTTATTTGTTCCTCATTTAACAAAAATCTTTTAATTCAAATATATGTCCTTTGGACTTTCTTTTATACTTTATTTATAGTTAAAATGTCTAGAAAATGAAAAGCTGTCTTCAGCTGAAATGCATTTGATGCAACTGATATTTTTAAAAAAATGACTAGAATGCAAAACTTATAGAAGTATAACAATCGAAGAATCTTAATTTTCTTGTGTCAGCACTAAAAACAAATGTAGAAAAAAATTGAGGGAATAAAAGCAAAAATTTAAGAGGGGGATCTACTGCAAGGAAGTTGGGTGTTCAAAGAGAAACGCTTGGACGTGTACACTGGCAAATAGCAGCAATTGAGTTGTTTGTGCTGACAGAAAAGACAAAAACGATATCATTGCAGATTAAAGTGAAGAGCAATTTTTTTGATTATATGGTTGTATAAATTTAAATTATGTAATAGGACATTATATCGTAGCATAAATGGAGCATCCCATGATTTATCAGTCAAATAATTTGAAGATTCAGTAATTTATTCAGTGACGTATATGGATATCATCCGAAGACATTTTCCCTCTTGATGAAACCGGTCTTTCCTTTCATCTCATGACTAAAATGCCTAGTCTTTAAAGACTGA